TCATAGTCAATTCCAGCCTTTTGACTATAGCCTTTAGCAACTAGCCTCGCCTTGTGCCTTTCAATCTCTCCTTTGGCGTTTTGCTTTGTTTTGTACACCCATTTGACACCTATCGCCTTATGTCCCTTGGGAAGTGAGGTAAGTTCCCATGTGTCATTCTTCTCGATGGCCTTGATTTCTTCGTCCATCGCATCTCTCCATTTCTTTTCTTGTACCGCTTCTTGAAAGCTCACTGGTTCACAATCGGCAAACAGACAAAATAATGTAAGATTATCTTGTCGTTCAGTTACCTCATAGAGATCTCTAAGGCTTCTTGTGCGTTGCACAACTCTTTCACTTTGACTCCCACTTGACGATGATGAAAGTGATGAGTCTCCTTGAGTGGTTGATGTTGGTGAAGTGGGTGGAGTTTCAAGCTCTTGTTGAGATTCATCTAGTTGCTCCCTCATTGTCTGCTCATCTTCTTCAAACTGAGGAAAGAAATTGAAGTCATCTGTATGAGAGTTAAAATCCCATTCTCCTTCTTCGTTGAAGACCACATCTCGACTAATCACAAACTTCTTATTGTCTGGATTGTACAACTTGTAGCCCTTCGAATTAGCATCATAGCCGATGAAGATAAACTCTCGCTTTTATCATCAAGCTTCGTTCTTCTCTCGTCTGGTACGTGAACATGGGCTATACTTCCAAAGGTTCTCAAGTGGGAAATGCCAGGCTTTCTTCCACTCCATGCCTCTTGCGGTGTCTTTCCCCATACACTTCTTGTTGGAGATCGATTTGACAAGTAGACTGCACACGATACTGCTTCCGCCCAAAATTCTTTGGGTAGTTTCTTGCTTTTGAGCATGCTTCGTGCCATGTCGAGGATTGTTCTATTCTTTCTTTCTGCCACACCATTTTGCTGGGGGGATCTAGGAACTGTCATTGGTCGACGAATTCCATTTGCTTCACAGAACTCTTGAAACTCCCTGGAAGTAAATTCTCCACCTCGATCGGATCTCATGGCTTTGATCTTTCTACCGCTTTCTCTCTCCACTGCTGCTTTGAACTTCTTGAAGACTTCAAAAACTTCTGACTTCTGTTTCAAGAAATATACCCAGGTTTTTCTTGAAAAATCATCAATGAAGAGAAGAAAATAGTTATTGTTACCGAGAGAGCTTGGCTTGATCGGTCCACACACATCGGTATGGATGAGCTCAAGTGGCTTCTTAGCTCTTGTCTCTGACTCCTTTGGAAAGCTTTTCCTGAATTGTTTCCCGACTAGACACCCTTCACAGAGCTGGTCAGGATGGTTGATGTGAGGTAGTCCTTTCACCATCTCCTTCTTAGATAATAGCTCTAGACCTCCAAAATTGAGATGCCCAAATCGAAGATGCCAAAGCCATGATGCATCTTTGTAGCAAGCTTTCAGGCACTTTGCAACATCATTTTGTATGTTGATCAAGAACATTCTATTCTTTGACATCGGCACTTTAGCAATGAAGTTATTCTTATCATCTTTTATAGAAAGATTATAATTATTCATATGAATATCATAACCTTTCTCTACCAGTTGCCCTAAACTTAAAATGTTACTTTTCATATTGGGCACATAGTAGACATTTGAAATAAATTGATGTCTCCCATCTTTCAAACGGATAAGAATGTTACCTCTCCCTTTCACTGCTATTGTGGAATCATCTCCAAACGAAACATTTCCACTTACTGACTCGTCTAGCTCCACAAACATGTCTTTCCTTCCACACATGTGATTGCTTGCACCACTGTCAAGATACCAGGAATTTGCTTGGCCACCATCAGTTTCCTTTCGTGCTAGAAGAAGAGTTTCTTTGCCATCTGTCTTTTCCTCCACGTAATTGGCCTTCTCCTCAATTTTGTTGTTGGGAGCTCTACATTCTGAAGCATAATGCCCAAATTTTTGACAATTATAACATCGAATTTGAGATTTGTCATACTTTGAGTTTGGATTAATTCTTCCACGACCTCGTGTTGAGCTTTCTCCTTTCTCATAGTTGTTGTTGGAATTGTTATTATTGTAATTCCAGCCTCGTCCACGACCTCGACTTCCACCTCGTCCATGGCCTCTACCTCTGCCTTGGCCACGTTGGTTTCTATCATTGCGTTGGCTCTCATGCATATCCTTGAGTTGTAGCTTGAGGAGTTGCTCAGTAAACTCATGCTTCTTTTTATGCTTCTCTTCGTATGCTTGCAATGATCCTTGGAGCTGTTCGATCTTCATTTCTTCCAAGTCTTTAGTTTCTTCAATCGTCACGACGATGTGCTCAAATTTGGGATCCAACGAACGGAGTATCTTCTCTATTATCCTCACATCGTCTAACTTTTCACCATTTCTTTTTAATTGATTAGAAACAGCTACTACTCTTGAGAAATAATCTGAAATAGACTCAGATGCTTTCATGTTTAAGGATTCAATTCACCTCTTAATGTTTGGAGACGAACCTTCTTCACTTGCTCGGATCCTTTGTAAGAGGTTTGCAGCTTCTCCCACGCTTCCTTGCTAGAGCTTGCACTTGAAATCTTTTCAAAACCATCATCATCTAATGCTTGATAGATGAGGTAGAGAGCCTTCTTGTCTCTCTTTCTTGAATCCTTCAAAGTTGTCTTTTGATCTGGTGTAAGAGTAGCAAAAACATCATCATCCGCAGGCTCGTTATAGCCTTTCTCTATGATATCCCACACATCTTGTGATCCAAGAAGTGCCTTCATTTTGATACTCCAATTGTCGTAGTTGTTGTTGTTGAGTGTCGGAACTTGGAATGGTGCCATACCATTTGCCATATCTCTCAATATAATCGGATTTTGTCTTCCGGCGGTGCGTGGCGGTGCGTCAGAACTCAGATTGAGAAAATTCTGGCGGCGTCGTATTCCTCTCGTCGAGACCTTCGATCTTTCCAACTCTCTCTGATGCCACTTTGTTGGAAATAAAACACTCACACAAACAACTTTTATTGAAACTCAAACAAATATTACAAGAGTACTCTCACTCAAAAACAAGAACTACAACTCACTCTTATAAGACTTTGCTTCTTCACTCACTTAGAAGCTCTTAATTTTTCTTGATGCTTAAAACTAAAATGGGAAGGGGTATTTTATACTACTCAAGAACAATCCTACACCACACAAATAAACTAATTTAAACCATTACAAATTCAACAAATATCTAACTCTCACCTAACTAAATTGATGTAAGCAATGACATCATTAATTAAATGATGTAAGCAATGACATCTTTAATTAAATGATGTAAGTAATGACATCAATTTAGTTTGGGTTTGGGTTTAGGCTCCCATAATGGATCAAGTTTATGATCCAACAGTGAACTCCACCCCATTCTCCAAATCTATGTCCTACCACAAGCTTTGAACATGGAAAGGTGCAACATTCCTTCTTTTGCGAGCTAATCTGTCATTGTATTACTTTTCCTATTAACATAAATAAACTGCACTTCTCTAATTTTGCGGATCAGGTTGTCGATTTCCATCAGCAGCGGCCGCCAACGCCAAGGGCGAATCGACACTTCATTGATCCAGTTTAACATCACTTTAGAGTCCGATTCCACGATCAGTTTCGCTTTCCTTGACCATTTAGCCTCATCAAACACCTCTAGTGCTGATTTTATTGCCGTAAGTTCTGCATAGTCTACCCCGAAACCAATGGCGGAACACAATGGTGGTTAGTGGGGGACATGACCCCCATAAAATTTGAAAAAATTATAACTTAGGCCTTTAAAATATTTAATTTATCCCCAAAATAAAATTTTAAGTTGACCCTCTAAATTCTATCACAAGTTATGCCACTGCTTAAAACCCTCAATCGGTCTTGAGAACAAAACCCTCAAGACCCCATCCTCCGTGCGTAGCACTCCCCCACACCCTGTCGCCTCATCTTTCGCTGTGCCATCCACATTAAACTTTACAAAGCCTACCTCTGGAGGAGACCATACATAATTGTCACCCTTGCTTCGTGATTTACAATCCAACACACATTTTTGGATTATCCCACCGTTCATCCAAGTTTGGCAACCAACCCTCCTTTGAAGCCTTTAACCAAAACAAGGCTCGAAGCTTAGTGTAAAATAGAAAATTCTTCAAAGTTGTAGGTTTTTCCTTGAATATTTTCTCGTTTCTTGCAAGGCAATTACTCCAAATAGAAGCACCCACAAAAATTAATCGAAGAGACCTTTGTGCACTTGACAAGGAAACATCAAAGCAGTAATCAAATAGGCTTGATAAATCTTGCATTCTATGCCAAAGAACACTCACTAAATTTACTCCAGAAACTATCCACAAAACCACAACCTACAAACAAATGATTAGACTCCTTTTGATTTAACCACACCAGCAAAGGCATTGTGATTCATTCAATTTCACGCCTCTCTTCATTAGAAAGACTTTAGTTGGTGTTCTATCAAGCTTAAGCATCCACAAGAAAATTTTTATTTTTGGAGGAACTTTCAAGTTCCAAATCCCGCCAAAATCGAACTCAGGTTCCTATATATCCACATTTGAGATCAAGTGTGACGTCCCCCTTCAACACGAGACGTTCTTGATATGTAGTCAAGCCGTACTCCACTCATACCCGTCCCAAAGACGTATTAGGTACTTGAAATAGTATTTGGTTGCCATACACGTGCTTGATAGCAAAGGACTATCACCGTGTAACGATGGCGTCATTTCGAATGGAAAGGGTGGCCAAGAAGTGAAAACAGCTAATTGGTTGGAACCATTTGATCGACTCAATAAGAAGGAGATTTGCGTTAACAGATATCCAATCACCCGAAGTTTAAATCGTCCTTATGGATCATAATGACTAAAATATCATCATTAGTTAAAATATTTAAAAAAATCCTAGAATAATGATATAGTTGAGTTATTTCTGATAGCAAGGTGCTTTAAATACTCGTACGAGTAAAAACAACTTAAAAAAAACTATAGGAGGAAAATTATCAAATATCAAAATACTCGGGTCGACTGTTTAAGTAACTAGAAATTCCAAAACTGGTCTCCAGGTGTCCATGAACTCATTTGAATGACCTCCATTGGCGCAGCTAAGGTTGCGTTCCCCGGTTCCTCGGCTGTAGCCGTCGAGTTACTTGCACCCGTACTCTTCCTTCTCTTGGGGGGCGGTGGGGAAGCTGGAGGTTGCAGTGAGCGACGCCTTGAGCCCACTCTGATCGGCTCCCGATCACTAGAGCCAATCAAGTGAGGGAAATTCAATTTAGCCTTAGCCCCACGCATTTCGAAAGCGGCTCTATCGTAAGCCAATGCAGCATCCTCAGGCGTCTCGTAAGTCCCCAGCCAAATCCTCGAACCGTTCCTCTTAGGATCCCTTATCTCTGCCGCGTACTTCCCCCACGGCCTTCTCCTCACTCCTTTAAAGCTCGCCCCCCTCGACGGGGGCACGTTGGGTTTACGCTCCGCTTTGATCCTATCCTTCTCTTCGCTGCATTCAACCGCTTTCGAATCAACGTCTTTTAAAGGGCTCCACCCTGAGTTTACCGCATCGTGTAAAGTAGTGTAAAGCAGCATATCTTCGGAATCATCAATCTTTAAAGGCAAATCACCCCAACTTTCATTGAAACAGATACAACCAAAACTTGAACTCCGGTTATAGGAAGGTTTAAGAACAATATTATTGCAGGTGGAAGTTGTTGTTGGCGGCGGTGGAGGAGGTTGAGATTCGTCAAAACTATCTAAGAAACGTTGAAAAGATTCAAGGATGTTGAAATCTGATTCAGACAAAATCTCCATATTCATTTCTAGGGTTTAGTGAAGACATGGCGAAGGGCGAATGGTACTGTGGGTTTATATAGGAAGAAAGAAACAATTTGACATCAATTTCCCTGAATGTTCCTTTGGCGTTCGGACATTATTATTAAATTAATTAAATTTAGAAGTGGGGGAAGGGAATTTTAATTAAGCACATGTTGTATTTGTTTCACTAAAGCACCCATATCATATGTACAAAATATAATAATGATGCACCAATATTCCCATAATGTGCCTGGAACGCCACGTTTCTTCCTTTTATTAAAGAATAGTTTTGTTTTATTTATTTTATTAGTATAACAAATAAAAAATATACAACGATTTACAAAGATTGAGTAAAGAAATAATAAAAAGTACAAAAGGGAATGAAAAACCGACAGAGGATGGCATCAATTATATTCCAATTCCGTTTACCATTGCTGTTGGTCCAGTTTTTGAGATCCTATATTTTTTTAAATATATATATATATATATATATATATAATAACAAAAATACATTAACGTTTGCACAAATAATCATTTTATTTCTTATTTTTTAGTATTTTATTTTTAAATTTTAATTTTTAGTCAAAACATAATATGTTATATAAAAATTATTAGTTGATTGATAGTCTACCATGTTAACATGCGGTTAACATAATATATGTCAAGTCATATAAAATATTAATATATATATGTCATGTCACCTAAAATTACGACATACATATATTACATTATTAAAAGTGATGATATAATATGTGTCACGTCATCAAAATAATGATGTGACATGTTCATATTAACAATTAAATATATGTGAAAATTATTATATTAGACGATAAAATATTCAAAAGAAATAAGATGCAAAGTGATTATTTATACAAATATTAAGAGTATTTTTACCATTATAACTTTAAAAAAGTACACTAAGCTGACTCTAATTATAAAATCGACATACTTTCATTTAGGTAATCGAGTTAAGGTAAAATCGTCTGATTCATATGTTAATTGAATTTGTGAATAACTTATGGTTCCTGTCCTTTTCCCTTTCTCCGTTCCTAATTCATTTTTTTAAAGATTCACTCAATTTCTAGAATAACATAATAATTATAAGAATCAACTTAAATCAAGTAGCTAATTTGTATTTATAATTAACTGCATATCTTTATTTATTAATTAAAATAATTAAATAAATAACATGTGGGAATCATGCTGTTTTCTTTTTATTTAAAATATCTTTTAAATATTTTTCTTTATTCAGTAAAAAAATCATAAATACTTGAAGGTTATGTATACTTTTTCTATTAAATTAAATTTTTAATTACATAGTCTAAGAAATTAAAAGGTAAATGTTTTATTTTATGTATACTTGAAGGTAAATATTTTTAATGACATAGTTTAGATAAATTATAAAACTAATTATGATAAATCCAAATAATCTATTTTAAATTATAATAATATTCATATGTTAGATTTAATTATAAATAATCAATAAAATTATTAAAAATATAATAATTCAAAAATCTCATATTAGATCTATATGAAGTAGTACGACTATGTTGTTTTCGTTAAAATGAGTGTTTATCTTGAACTGAGACGTGTGATTTAGAAATTTTAAGGCACATTAAAAAGGTAAATAACATTCGATCGATCCACGAAAAGATATCTTAACCTAGAAATATTTGGATATATATCATCCGAAAAATCATCTTAAGTTAACTTATGTTTTACCCCTCATATGCTCGTATCAATCTATATGAATTGTGTTATACATGATTATTCTTGTAATATTTAGGAGGTTGTAAGTTTAACCATGCTTAAAAGTGTATTATTCTTAGATTCAATGATTTAAAAGGGATTTGATAATTAATATGCACTGTATTAACCCAAAAATTAGTAAAATTGTAGTCTGATCTCTCCAAAAATAATAAAACTATAAATTAATATAAAGATAAAACTATAGTTCAATTCCTCGAATTTTATAATTTAATTATACCTAAAAAAAAGTTATGCACTTATACAGTTATACTTCATTCTAATGTTATTTGATGATAAACGGCGTAAAATATAGTTTATATAATCATGTTTAATTACGTTTTGAATCTAAACTTAAAATATAAAAATTTAAACTATAATTTTAAATAATATAATTGATAGTAAAATAAACAAAATTATATAAATTAAAATTTACATAATCTATATATCAAATATTTTTTAAATATTTATTAGAGCAAAACAGCCGATCGAACACCTTAAATCTTAATGGTCGTTTATCCTCAATTTGTTGCGGAAGACGGCTATCGGATAGAGTAAAATCGCAACTGATAATTTGAGAAAATAAAAATGAAGATAAAAGAGACACAAAATTTACGTGGAAAACCCCTAAATAATATAGGGTAAAAACCACAGGCAACGGTAGAAGAATTTCACTATGAGAAAATAGGAATTACAACCTCTCTCGATCTACCAAGGAGAAAACAATGATAATTCTCTCTTGATAAAAAGGAGAAAACAACTCTCAAGAAACTCTCTAAATTCTCTAGTATTGGAAAAAATGTATAATGTTTTGAGATAGTTTTGAAGCTAAATGGGATAGGGTATTTATAGTTAAATCTTAAAGACTTAATATTGTAAATACCCTAAAGTTTTAATGATTAAAATGTTGTAATTATCCCTTTTTTTCAACAAAATACAACCATCTTTGAATTAAATCAAAGTAGTTGGCTGCCATCTAGAAGATTAACCGACCATGATAACTTTTAACACAATTTTCCTCCCCATGGGAAATAAAAGGTTGTAACACCGATGTTTAAGTAGGTAGAAAATCCGAAACTGGTCTCCAGGTGTCGATGAAGTCATTTGCATAACCTCCAATGGAGCAGCTAAGGTTGTTTTCCTGGGTAATAGGGCTATAGCGGTGGAGATACTTTACTCGGCCCCCTTCGACCTGGCTTCGTCGTTGGAAGTAAAGACAATAAGGTGGTAGCTCAATTTTATAAGCTAACAAATTCTAAAATAATAAGCGCGTGCTGGAATGATGTTATTATAAATAAAGATGGAAGCTTCGAAGAAACAGAAAGTGCGAGACATTCCCTTTTCACCGGATATAAGCTTTTGCCAGCTTTAGGTTCAGGTCTATCAATATCAACAAACAACAACTCTTCTTCATCGGCCTCCCATTAAACAAATCACTTGCTTGTTTAATTCCCTTGGTTTCTTACTGTTGACGGAAAATATGTCCGCTGATAAGCCCGAGAGTAGTTCAGCATCCGAAGATCTCGCCCTCTTGGACTCTATTAGCCACCGTATTCTTGCTGATGATTTTGAATCTTCTTTCACTTCTTTAGACGACGTCGTCTCCTTCGACCGGCCACCACCTTTACATGGTGGAACTACTTCCAGCTTCACCAGCCTTCTCCTCAAGAATTCCACTCTACCGTTAGACATTGACGATGAATTTAGCTTTGCGTGTCCTCCGCCTGGAAAAGTGGATACGCCGCCGCAGGAGGTGAGTGAAAAAAGGTTGCAGTACAGGGGAGTGAGGAGGAGACCGTGGGGAAAGTACGCGGCGGAGATAAGGGATCCCGAGAAGAAAGGATTGAGGGTTTGGTTAGGAACTTACGAAACGGCTGAAGATGCTGCTTTGGCTTACGACAAAGCCGCTTTCAAGATCCGTGGATCAAAAGCTAAGCTCAATTTCCCTCACTTGATTGGCTCAGGTAGCATAGAACCCGTAAGAGTGGGTCCACGGCGTCGCTCGTCACCTGAGCCGTCGTCTTTTTTATCATTTTCCGCCGGGGATAGCAGTAGCTCGACTACACCGATGCCAAGAAATAAGTGAATTAACTAATGGCTTGGTGGCTGATGCGAATCCGATGGCGGTATATCATTTAATTTTATCTGATTAATTTGCTTTCACTTTTCAAAGCATGAAATGTCATTAAGGCAATCAAGTCTTATAGCCGGAGAATTCCTAAAAAATAATAATTACGGGCGTGGAAATGTAATTGATTTGAAATTGAATTATATCACATGAATAGAGGAAGGCTTCATGTTTTCGCAATTAATCTAATTTTATTATCATTTCAAATACATTGTGTTCAGCTTTTATTTTATTGTTGTTTCTAGATTTTATTGAGTTAATTGCATCATATGTCCTCAATATATGACCCTCATTTTAAATTGGTCTTTAAAATTTTAAGTGTTTAAATTTTATCCCTAAACTATGACTATCACTCTAAATTGATCCTCAAAATTTTGAACATTTCAATTTCATCCCCAAACTATGACCTTCATTCTAAATTAGTCTCTGAACTTTTTGAATATTTCAATTTCACCCCAAACTATTCATATATACTAATCACATCCTCCTTAATAAAATCATTAGGCCAAATTATATTATTGTATTTTGAAAAAAATAGGTTAAAATATGGTTGAAACTATTACACATTTGGATGAAGTTGAGGATGAAATTAGAAAATTCAAAAGTATGAGGACCAATTTAGAAAGAGGGTCATAGTTTAGGATGAAATTAGAAATTCTATATCATTTGGTACCAATATTTCATGGTGAAGATGATTGTGTGATGAGATTTGATTAGATGGTTATAAAGAGCTTAGTGATTTTAAAGAGTTGATGAAGGATTTTTATGTTTTTGATGTTAGTGATTATTCCTAAAGCATGTACAATGATTAAAGTTAATTTGTACATGCATATATAAGGTTTGGTCATGTTAGGGTTTATGGAGAATCATTGGATTGTGATTCAAATTGATGTTGTGATGATGAGAAATGCATGAATTTAATCATAGGAGGTTGAATTCATGCTTGAAATTGAACAAAAAGTTCACCTATTGTGACATTATGGATTCAACCATAGGGAAAATTTTAGGAGGAAAATGTTGAAAAAATTTCTATGGTCTAGAAATAATATTAGAAGTGTTCTATAAGATTTGGAGATTGATTTGGAACCTTGAAAGTGAAAAAGGGCTAGTTTACAAGTTTTAAGGATTGTGGGACATTATTGTATAAATGTGAGATTTGGAGTTTTCAATGATAATATTTAATATTGAGATGCTGGAAAATTAAGTTGGAAAGTTATATGGAACCAAATTGCAAATTTGGTAGAAGTTTGGGTTGGAATTCGAAAGGTCCTAAGAAAATGGGAACTTGTTTGCAAGTTAGTAAATGTAGAAGTATCATTTTGGTAAATTAGGACAATTCTGGAAATTCAGGAAGCTTGCTGAAATTTTTGTTTAATTATTAGGTTCTAATCAAATTACAAGTTTAAAGATATTGGAGGTTGAATTGACAAAGTTTAAGAAAATTCAGGGTGAAATTGTAAGATTTTAAATGTTTAAGTGTTAATTTGAATATTTTTATTAAAGTGCTGGAAATTTCATGTGAATAATATGATATGATTATAATAGTGAAGGGCTATTGTGAATTTAATGGAATAGTCGAGGTGAATTCTAGGAAGAACTCAAAGTTAATGGTTTGGTTTTGGAAATTGGCAAAAATCGAGGGATTTAAGTTGGAAATAAATCTTTGGGAGCTTAAGAGTATTTTGAGAAGTTTGGAACTTTAATTAAAGTATGATTTAAGTATCGTATTGATTAAGTATTGATTTTTATTTCATATATTTTTATATTTTTAAGATTAGATTATATTAGTTTGATACCAACATATAGTTTGAATATGTTATGTTATGATGTTATGTTGTCATACTACAATAAACCTAGCAATTTGAACGATCATAAAGGAAAGGAAAAAAGTACACGAATAAAGAATTAGCATACAAAGGTTCGGTAGTGAGGCAAATGTGAGTTCAATTTGTTTATTTAATTATTTTAATCGAGAACGACTTGTGATAAGTCAACCTCGCATTATTTATTTCAAATTTATGAATTATGTATTGAGCGTCGTAGGTACAATTGGCATGCCATGAGGTGGAGTGATTATATTCTGATTATGATATATTGTAGTGTATTTGTGGGTACTTGTTGACGAAAACGGGTAAAGAAAACGAAAGAACACGAGAATTTTACGAGGTTCGGCAATGTGCTTACGTCCTCGGTGCCTAGGCGGCGCTAGAAGTTTTATTCAATGATGATATTTTAGGTCTAGGTTACATCTCTATTTATAATAGAAAACCCTGGTACATAATTACAAAATTAACCCTGTACCGTACCGCGAGGGCTGCGCCCCCGCACCCCCAACCCACATAATTCGTAACCCCACAACGAGACTTTCTTTGTAAGGACAGTTGATGTTCGCTTCGCTCACTCCGCTCCATCTCCTGTCCTCTTTACTGGTATATTTATGAGCCATACCTAACAAATCTCCACCTTGGCGAATATCCTGCCTCTTGGAAAATTCAATGTGGGTTGGGTTACCTTGATTCTTTAACAACTCGAAACATTCAACAAGTCCAAGCAATGCTTGAACTTGTCTGTCGTAACTGGCTTAGTGAACATATCAGCGGCATTTTCATCAGTATGTACCTTCTGAAACAAAACCTCTCCAGATGCAACCAACTCTCTGATCTTGTGGAACCTTACATCAATATGTTTAGTTCTAGCACGATACACCTGATTCTTAGCCAAGTGAATAGCACTTTGATTATCACAAAGCAACTGAACTCCACCTTGTTGAACACCCAACTCCTTCACTAAACCAGTAAGCCATAAAGCTTCTTTTGCAGCTTCAGCCGCTGCCATGTACTCAGCTTCAGTTGTAGATAGAGCCACAATAGATTGAACATTAGACTTCCAACAAATAGGCCCTCCACCAAGAGTAAAGACATACCCTGTCGTAGATCTTCTATTATCCAAGTCACCTGCATAGTCTGAATCCACATATCCTACAACCAAAGGATTATCCCGCTGACTCCCAAAAACAATTCCATGTCCCACAATACCCTTTAAGTACCGAAAGATCCACTTGATTGCTTCCCAATGTTGCTTACCAGGTTTAGACATGTACTTACAAACTTGACTAACAGCATGAGCTAAATCAGGACGAGTACATACCATCGCATACATCAAGCAGCCAACAGCATTAGAATATGGAACCTTTGCCATATCTTCAGCTTCCTTATCTGTCTTGGGGCACTGTTCTGATGAGAGCTTAAAGTGATTCGCCAATGGAGTGCTAACTGGTTTTGCGCTGCTCATCGCAAACCTTTCTAGCATTTTCTCAACATAACCCCGTTGAGATAGCCGCAGTTTCCTTGAGTCTCTGTCCCTGCAAATTTCCATTCCAAGAATTTTCTTTGCAGCACCTAAATCTTTCATATCAAATTCCTGACTCAATAAAGTTTTCAAACCGATAACATCATCCATGTTCTTCGCAGCAATCAACATATCATCAACATACAGTAATAGAAAAATAAAAGAACCATCATCAAGGCTCTTAACATAGACACAACAATCATACTCACATCGGTTGTAGCCAATCTTGATCATATAGGAGTCAAACCGTTTATACCACTGTCTCGGAGACTGTTTCAACCCGTACAAAGATTTCTTCAATCTGCAAACTAAATGCTCGTTTCCAGGTTGAGTGAAACCTTCAGGTTGCCGCATGTAGATCTGCTCCTCTAAATCACCATGCAAAAAAGCAGTTTTAACATCCATCTGCTCTAAATGCAAATCCCAACTAGCCACCAATGCAAGTACTGCTCGGATTGAAGTGTGCCTGACCACAGGAGAAAAGATTTCATCATAATCAACTCCTTTCTGCTGTGAAAAACCCTTCGCTACCAAACGAGTCTTGAACTTCTCCCCCTCTTTTTCTGTTACTACTGGTTTCTTCTTATACACCCATTTGCAACCAATCGGCTTCTTACCCTCAGGAAGGGGAACTAACTCCCATGTGCGATTGTGATTCAAAGACTCCATCTCCTCAACCATGGCTGCCATCCACTTGTCGTTTTCCTGACTAGTAACGGCATCATGAAAAGTAACCGGATCATCACTGCTAACAATAAGTGCAAAAGATACCAAGTCTTCAAAACCCAATCTGTTCGGAGGCTTTATATTCGTCCGTTTCACCCTGTCTCTGGCGAGACTATAATCCTGCAAATCATCCGTAGTGGAACCACCAGAAGTCGGTTGAGAAGTTTCTGGTTTCTCGACTGGAAACTGCTCGAAATCCACCACTGTCGTGTCTTGCTTCTGCTGCAACATGGATTGTTCATCAAAAACGACATCTCTACTAATCACAACTTTCTTCGCAACTGGATCCCAGAACTTGAATCCTTTGACACCTTTCTTGTAACCCAGAAAAATGCACTCCTTCGATTTTGCATCAAGTTTGGATCTCTCATCAGCAGGTACATGCACATAAGCAGGACAACCAAAAATCCGTAAGTTATCAAAACTAACATCATGACCAGTCCATACCTCTTCTGCAACTTTCCCAGCCAGCGATGCCCTTGGCGATCTGTTGATAAGGTAACACGCCATGTTAACAGCCTCAGCCCAGAAGTGTTTGGGAAGCCCCGCATTCAACCGCAAACATCTGGCTCTTTCATTCAACGACCTGTTCATTCGTTCCGCAACACCATTCTGTTGTGGTGTCTTGCGCACTGTAAAATGCCTCTGAATCCCATGCTCCTTACAGAATTGTAGGAACTGTGAATCTGTGTACTCCGTACCATTATCAGACCGCAAACACTTGATTTTTCGTCCTGTTTGGTTTTCTACCTCAGCTTTCCACAACTTGAACTTCTCAAAAACTTCAGATTTCTGTTTCAAAAAATACACTCAAACTTTCCGTGAAAAATCATCAATAAAAGTAACATAGTACCTAGATCCACCCAAAGACGATGTCGTGGAAGGCCCCCATACATCAGAATGCACATAATCAAGAATCCCTTGAGTTGTGTGCTTCGCAGTCTTGAAACGGACTTTAGTCTGTTTACCAAGAACACAATACTT